CATGGTATTTATTATATATTTTATTTTTTACTTTCTACATTTTATTTCACAAATAATATGACATTTTTTCAAAACTGTTTAAATAACCAGATCAATTTAAATTTTGTCCAATCCCTTTGAATCCACCTCTCTAAATTAATCTCCCACATGATAACCCTAACCCTAACCCTATAGGTTTAGATGATGTCATTCCTGGTCCTCAGCAGTTTTCTGTGATCAGTTCAATGTATCGTGTATGTGGATAAAATTTACGCTTCCCCATGTCTCCTGGCACTCTTTTCAATATTGCCCTGAATTTCTCTGAGCTCCACTCACCATTAAAGCATAATGTGGGTAACTGTGTAATACATTGCTTAATGTCTGCAGAAAATTGGTCCGATTTTCGATGTCAAATTACCTGATCTTTCTGATGTGATTTGCCAAAATGTTTACGCACATTCCTTCACATAGAGTTTCTTATCTCTTCTCCTTTTTCTCCAAATCATTAGACATCTTGTGTTCTAAAAACACAGCTGGTTATCAACAAAAGCTCACATGATGTATTACATCATTGATCATTTCTGGACAAAATATGCTTTAAGATATTAGACCAATTAAGTTTATAATGAAGTACAGCAAAATGGAACAATGTCATAACATTTCTGTGTTTACTCTCAGGATCTTAACAAATACAGATAAAAAGAGTTGTAATATATCAAATAAGAGTTCTACAAGCACCATAGTGCTTACGTGTCCATTTCTGTTAAATTCACGTCTGCCAGCTGGCTGTAAATGGATTAAAAATAAAGAAAAACATTTGCTCTTGCAAGGCCACAGAACAGGTCTTTTGTGGTATGTAGCAAAAACTGTTTTTTTACTTTAAAGGCAAGGTAACCTTTCAGTTTATGTTTAACTGAGCCTTATGTGATTTAACAAGCCTGCAGCCATGCTCATTTTAGCATACTTACACTTGCTATTTAGCTCTAAACACAAAGCATAGCCGAGGCTGATGGAAAAGTCATTAGCTCTGATAAACATTTGTTTTTTAAATGAGCACATTGAAAAGAAACTGGTGTGTTAACTGAATATTTGTTGAGAAATTTCACTTAAAGCCTTAAGTGTCTATCTCATGGTGGTACTAGAGTTGGTCTGGACCAAAATGGTGGACTGACTGACCAACAGACCGTACCGCTGGTATGGCTAATAAAAAGTACACATAAGTCTTATGGTAATTTTGGACTAGTTGATTTGTGTATAACTATATATGTAATAGCACTGCTAACACCCTTTCTTTCAAACGAGGGATATCAACATGATGTGTTTTTCATACATCTGTGGTTTTAAAATCCCACTTTCATGGGGATTTAAACACACATTCTAGCCACGCTTTCATGGAGCTGAAATAAATCCAACAACCTTTTGCAGCGATGTATCTTAATTGAATAAAGATTATTGCTTGAAATGGCTGACTCATTTTGAAAGAGAGATTACAGAGTGAGTCTTTGTGGAGCCTCCTTGTCATATCTTTCAGTAATCCTTCTTCATTCAGGCTGAAGAGAAAGTCAAATTCATATTCATCAAGTCACTATGAACCTGAACATTTAACTGATGCAAGAGTACATTAGTGCATATTACATCTTCATAATTTTATTACAACCTTCAAAATATGCTCGACATTCCGTGCAGTGAGCTGCACAACATAAACCTTGATGAAAGGAGAATCATCTTGGCCTAGTTTTCAGGGCCTGTCAGACAATATTAAACTACAACCAATGAGAAAATATACTTCATTTTCTGTGTTTGTACATACTCTTTATTAATTAAAAGGCCATCTGTCACCTTTGCATGGACTAACCATGCTCAAAATATTCTCGACATTTTGTGCAGTGAGCTGCACAACATAAACCTCGATGAAAGGAGAATCATCTTGGCCTAGTTTTCAGGGCCTGACGGACAATATTAAACTACAACCATCAGAAAATATACTACATTTTCTGTGAGTCTATGTACTCTTTATTAATTAAAAGGCCAGCTTTTACCTGTGCATGGACAAACAGTGCAACCAGTATAGGGGGGTGTGGATTACTGTATCTGTCATATTATTTGCATGTACACTCTATATTCCTCCCACACGTCAAGATGTCTTGTGTTTTCAGTGGTCTGGTACAAGAGATTTTCCCAAGTTCATTGTTAGTCTGACAGTGAAGATTCCTACATGTGCAACTAACACACAATATGCACATACAATACACCCACTGTAGTTAGCTATGATATTGTTATGTAGTGGTGATGAAGGGGGGGAGACACAATTTTTAAAATAGACTACATAGCATTGAAATATTTTGCATGGTTTATTATGGTGGACCTTTTTCTGTTGATGCCACTTGTATTCTCCTGTGCATAGTACCAGCATCAGCCATCATCATGCGAAGCTTCAGGAACTTAATTCTAATGTATACCTGGCAACTGACAGATGAGGGGTGTTTACGTTAGCTCACAGGACATGTGTGTATGTGCATGACATGCTGTGCTTTTTCTGCCACAAAACTCCTATTCTCTCCACCTCCTCACTTCACAACAAAAATAAACTTGTCTCATTACAGCAATCTGCGTTTTATATGAAAAACAATAATTTACAGGTTTTATGTGCATCTGCAGAGCAATCAGCCTGCATGCAGAAAATGTTTTAGAATATGAGTGCAGAGAAATTAGAAATGAACAGCCCCAGCCGGTTAATATGCACTGTAACCAGAAAAAATAGACATCATTGTTCATTGTAATGCAATCCAATGCCACAGTATGGTATTAAATAATCTTTAATTTAAGGCACTTCAGTGCATCGCCACAAATTGCGTCCTCTAATTGTACAATATAACCAATATAGAATATGCAATAAAATCTCTGATCCAGTATGCCACATAGGCAAGCACATTAGCTTTTTCACATATGACACCTTTGAGTCATATAAAGCTGAGGAGCACTGCTCTGTTGTGCTTTGGATAAAATGCTATCATTGTTTGAATCCCACAATTCATTTATGTATGCATCAATTTTTGTTTTACATTGTGGTCTCAATCAAGCTGGTGTCGGTTGTTCTGGTTAAGATGTTTTTGCAAACTCTTTATTTATATCTATTTAAAATTATGACTGATTATGTCATTTGGCTGGTTAGCAAAGCTCTTCATGTTGCACTGTAAAACCATAAATTTGATATTTTAGCTAAATTAAAATACTTAGCAACATGATAACACAGTGTCAGGTACAAGATGTAACTGTAATATTAAATATTATTGGGTTAACTTTATTGTAGGGGTTGCATCACTCTTCACTCCCACTCTGATACAATCAATCTTGTGGAAACACGTAACAAATTTATTTCTTCCTTATCTGTTGCATGCCTGAATTATTTGAGCTATTCATTGATATTCACGCTCGAAATGCACTTAATAACTCTTCAACCTTTACTTTGCGTAATACTTTGAGTAATAAATGTGTCTGTGTGGTGCACTTGTGCTGAATATTTCCCAGTCCCAAGCCTTTAACACTTGAGCTTGAGCTTTCACAACAGTGTCTCTGGCTCACAAGAGCTTCCTCCATCAGCAGTTTGTCACAGCTCAGAGTCCACTTGTGTGAATGATGACGATCAGCAATTAGCAGCAATACAGAGGAAAGCAACTGTCTATCGCTGCTGACCTTCCCACACTTACAAACACACACATACACACACACACACACACACACAAACTATAAACAGGCAGGCCGCTTTGAGCCAGAGAGGAAAAGAGTGAGGAGGATGCAAGGCAGCTTAAGAAACAAAGTGGAAAGGAAATGAAATCACTGATTAAACAGATGAAGAGGCACACATTCAAAGCAGAGGATATGAAAAGGGAAAGTCATATGAATTGAAGATATTGATTAAAAAAGTCCAATTCTAAATGTGTGATTCAGAAATAAGGGAAAGAGAAATCTCATCTTGAACAGAGCTCAGTATACAAATATGAGGAGGTGTGTTCTTGAGCCTGTGAGTGAAGTTCTCTATTCAAACCCTGTGTATTTTTTATAAATTGTAACACTCTACTGAGCAGAGTAAGATTAGTATCTATAATGTTGCGGCAGGAGGCGTTTTTCTCTTTTGTAACTGTGTTTTTAACCTCGTCTGACCTTTAGAATTCCTTTTATTTCATTATTTAAGGCAAATGTTTCTAGTTGCTTGCTTTGGCTGGTGTTTAACTTCACCTCATTTTTCGTACCTATCTTTCTACGTGGATATCAGGCAAGAGGTGAAAACTCTGGAAAAATACCATTAAGTTGAAATGTGTCACTGCACAGTCAGGCAGGGATTGTGAGTGGAGGGTGAGGTGAGAAGGGGGGAAGGGAGCGTTGGGGTTCTGAGGGTGATGACTCATACCAAATGATTACATGCCATTGCTATGTAATGATGGAGAGCGTTGAGGCGTGTGTGTGTGTGTGTGAGAGAGAGAAGAGAGATGCAACACCAAGGACTAGAGGTCATTCCTCTGTGCTGCTCAACCTGTAACTTATACTGACGCATAGTGTGGTCTCTTCAGAAACCAGGTATACTTGGCCGAGGCGGCGCGCTCATACAAGGCGGGACAATCATACAAATTGCTTTGTTCTCCCTTAATGTGTCGACCTCTGTGTGGGATTTCACACAATTGTAATGCAAAACATGACAAATGGTGGGGTTCAAAGTGATTGGTGGCATTTAATCCGAGATAGTAGGAGTAAAAAAATTTGTAAAATTGTGTTACATTAAAGCTTTTCTCCCAGCACCTTGTCAACATAGACTTTGCACTGATACTGTTTACTCTTTCTGATTTTGAATTTACACCTGAGTAAAATGTGCT